ATTTTATGTATTTTTCTCATTCTATTCTAGTTATTTGCCTATATCCATTATTTAATTTTTTTTATGTCTTTTGATTTTATGCTATTTTTCTTTAATTTTTTTAAAGGGATGGGAATCTGACCACTCCTCACTTATGCTGATGAACTTGCTTTTTAAAGTGAGATTTTTTCCTTATTTTTATTTGGAAGCTTGTAAGCTATTATTGACTCCTCTAAGAACTGTTAAAGGAAGAAACATTTATGGTTGTTTCTCTTCCTCTAACTCCTTAAGTGATGTATTTTCTTTTTGAATTAAAATCTATTTTCAAATTAAAAATTAGACTTTGAAATAGAGATCTATTTTATCTTTCCTCAGCAAATTTATCTCATATGAGTAATGTTTCAAGAAAATGCATCACTTTCAAGTTTTCTCAATCAGGTTGTTATATTTATCATATGGATATAATTCTATTTTATGGTTTACTCTTTCTTATATTATAGAGTTTTTTCTTCTCTTATATATGGAGGATATTCTCACAAATGAGAGTTTTTTGAAGTTTTTTTAAGGGAAGCAATCTTGCAAAATGAAAAGATGAGCAATGATCATCAAAAATTGAAAGATACACAAAATGTATCAAAATCAAAAGATGCACAAAGTGTGCCAAAAGTTCAAAGATATACAAAATATATCTTAAATAAAAAGATGCATAAAGTGCACCAAATAATTAAAAAAGAGGCACTAAATGTGCCCACAAATCATGAAGCTTCTTTTTCTTTCAAAAATCTTTAGATCTTAGAAAACTTCATGTGCAACTTAATATTTTCAAACACTTGTGATTGGAACTTTTGATTTCTGATTCATTACCTTGCAATACTATTCTATCAAAATTTTTTTTTCTAGAACAAAGTTTGAAAAGATCACTTTTTCTTATCTAATTTCTTTTTTTAAATTAAACTTTGCTTGAAAAGTTTTTTTAAACATGTATGAAGTCCGAGCTAGAGTCTACAAAAATTGATTTTTTAGCCTTTCTGGATTTCAATGTTGTTGATTCATCTCTTTCAGGTTTTTAAATATAAAACAGAGGTAAATCTTTCATTTCATGTTAGTGATTGATTAAAAAAAATACTGTGATTCTATTTTTTTTTGGAATTTCTTTAATCATATTTATTTTTGTAGTTTTCTGATATTTTCATTTGTGTTTCTGTTTCATAGTTTCCTTCTTTTTGTGATGTCAAAAGGAGGAGTAGGGTGTTGTTTGTTTTGTAAAAGTTTGCCTTCGATATTAGTGTTTACTATTGATTATGTTTAGTAATTTATGTTGTTATAATTTTATGTTATTTGTTTACGTCCCTAGTTTTTTTAAATGAATGAATTAACCTGGTAAGGGGGAGTGTAAGGAATTTCTTGAAAAATTTTAACGACAATGTTTGTCATCATAAAAAAGAAAGAGATTATTACAAATTCGGAGCTAAGCACTATGATTTTGATAATAAAAAAATAATATTATTTTGCTCACATTGCTAATTCCCATCGGTTAAATTTATTGCATACTTATTTTTTTCTTTGTTGCGAACCCAATTTAAGGATCACAAGCTCACTTGCAAGCCAAATCAAGATTGGATAGACTAAGATTGAACCAGTCTGTATTTTTAATGTATTTTTTCACTTTTTTTTTTGAGTTAAATGTAATATGATGGATCCTTAAGCTAAGTAACTTTGCACACACACACTCAAGGGATTGAGTAAGTAAGTTAGGGATATTTTAAATTTTTGAACAAAGCATACTTGATGATTCTGGATGGTCCTGGACAGTCTATTGAGCTCAAAACCCTAATTAGGGCTTATGTGTCAAATAAGCTTGATTATACCAGTCATCCTAGATGATCCTCCAATCATACAAGATGATAGGCATTAATATAACAATCAAGCTAGCATAGATGATTTAGGCAAGATTTGATAATTAAAAATTTTTAGTCTAATCATACAAGATGATCCCGATCATCCTGGACAATTTGTAGCAATCATGCCTAAATTGATAATGTGATTAGGAGCTAAGAATGGTTAGATTGAATGATCATATCATCCAGGATGATCGTCTATGATAGTTGAGGGTGATACATGATTTTTTCTTCTAAACGTACTGGACATCCCGAACTTTTTACGAGGACAATTTTCATGATTTGAACTAATAATCCAGGATGATCGCAAGATTGGCCGGGACAATCAATACATTTTTTCTTCTAATCATCCCGGACGTCCCAAACGATCTACTGGATGAAAAGTAATATTTTGAATAAATCATATAAGACGATATACTAATCATCCTAGAAGATTAATACAAACTTATTAGTCTAATCGTACATGCAACTCAGATCGTCCTGGCTGGAAGGGCTGATTTACACTAATCGTACATAGGCCGATAGACAGATCATCCTGGACGATCTTTGATGGCAAGTTAAAAATTAGGTCTTATTTGGAGTTCTTCTATTTAAGATCAAGTATTTGTCCTTTGACAATATCTTTTGCTGAAGTCCTAACCTAAGGGAGCTTAAAGAAGGAGAAGGAGAGTTTGGGAGAGAGATGGAGAATATTGTGTGGGGAAGTTTTTGAGGGGAACCACAAAGGTTTCTCCAAGTAAGGATTTGTTTGTCTTTTCAAGCTTCGTCAATGGTTTCTTGGTGGATCTAAGGGACACGATCATCATTATCAGATCAAGGTTCTCTGCCTACTTCAGGAGGGAGTAAAAGAATTCCATGTTCTCTACCTTCACTAGGAGGGTGAAAAAAGATTCTAGGTTCTCTGCCTCACCGGGATGGTGAAAAGAGTTTTGTAAGGGCTTCTCCGCCTTGCTGTGAGAGAAAAAGGAGAGTCACTAAAGGTTTAGTGCAATACTTGGAGAGGGTGACTCCAACGAGTGGATGTAGGTCAAGTTGACCGAACCACTATAAATCTTGTGTTCTTTCTTATTACTTTTATTCATTTTAATTTCCGCACTTTAATTTTATGTGGTTGTTTGTATGGTTAAAATATATGATTTGTTTTGTTAATCGCTTCCGCATCAAGGGTTGATCTTATTTGTTTTAAAATATCCAAAAAGGTTTCAAAGAGATTTTTGTTTTTGTTTAAGAATTTTTTAAAACTACCAATTCAACCCCCTCTTGGTTAGCCTCGGGCTAGTTCATAAGGGTTTAACAACCCTAACGAACTTTCAAAAGGTTCTTAGCATCTATTAATAAAGATTTATTTTTGCGAGAACCATTAGAAATAAAGTTATTTTCCAACCGGATGATATCCTTTTAAGCTTTGAGGATATTATCAAACATAATACCAAAAAAATGTTTATTTTACCAACTAATGAATTCTTTGAGATGTTTAAGTTTAAGAGCCAATGTAATAATGTCATTGAAACCATCATATTAGGACATTGGGGCCAATCAATTAGATTCGACATCTCTAATAAAATGAATAAAAGATCTAATTTTGTTAGAATCACCGTAACAATTTAAAAAAATAAATAAATCAAGCTATTGAATAATAAAATAAGCTCTATCTTATTACAAATTAATAGTAATTAGAAGAAATATTGAAAGATATGCAAATGAATTATTTTTTTAGAAGAAGACATGATATTGCACGATATAAAAATTATATAAAATGTTTCAAAAGGTAAATCATACTATTTCATTCAACATTTGAACTGCATGCCTCTTTTCAAACACAAGAGCTTAGGAACACTAAATGAATTAATTAAACAGGCGATGGGTTGCTAGATTTTTTCATATGCATGAGTGTTATTAATTGATTTACGTTGGGTGACGAGCAAAACAAACCAAAAATTTTGTAGAATATTTCTTTTTTTTTTTTCTATTTTTTGATAGAGAGTTATAAATTTCATCTGACTTTACACTAACTTATATCAGTGGACGAAACTGCCCGCTAAAAAAACTATCATAAATAAAAAAACATTTAACTATATTTGTATTAAGACACTTTTATTTAAGTTTCTTAAAAAATATATATTAGGGCATTTACTCATTTGGCACTAAAAGAGAGATTGTGCATTAGGACAAGTTACCGTGCCCACTTATTATTCTTTTCATTACTCAAATATGTTGGCCTCCTTCGAATGCCTATGGCCTGCGTGTGCTCTCTTCATCTACCATTCCTAATTCTCGCCGATTGTTGTCACTACATTGCCAGTCGTGGCTGTCGCATCAGGTAAATCTTCTCATGGCTTTTAATCTTTGTCAAACATTGGCTTTAATTCTTTGAATGCTGAATGTCAATTTTCTAGGATTCAATAAAGTTTTCTTGTTTCTTCTTTTGGTTGTCTAGGACTGCTGAGGTTTGTTGAATCCAAGCATTCGAACACCAAATGTATCGGAAGACAGGGAGAAGACGATGAACAGTAGTCGCATTGTATTGTGTTCTAATGTAAAGCATATTACATGTGTTTTTATAATGGAAATGACTAAGTAAGTCAATTATAGAATTGCCCTACGTAATTATAAAAGCAATCGGCTGGCAGGGAGAAGTGGAGACAACTTGGCAGAGTATCAGGTAATGCTGTTGGTAGCCGTTGAGCTCTTCTCCACTCCAAGTGATGATTTCAGTTCGTTATTGAGCACATCATTCGTATCACTGTCCCTCAAGCTGATGGTCGGAAGGACCATAAGCTTGTCTCGCAGTGTGCAGAGTCGAGAAGATGAGAGGGATTTGGTGAAGATATCCGCAGGTTGATCAAGTGTAGAGATGTGTCAAATGACAATATGCTGAAGTCGAATGCAATCACGGATGAAATGGTGATCAACCTCAATATGTTTGGTACGGGCGTGGAAGATTGGATTGCAGGCAATTGACATTGCAGATATATTATCACAGAAAAGCTCAGTTGGGGGAAGTTGTATGAGAAAATCTTCGTAAAGACGCCTTGTCCAGATAATGTCGGCGGCGGCAGAAGCCATAGATCGGTATTCAGCTTACGTAGATGATCGTGCTACTGTGGACTGTTTTTTAACGAACTAGGAGAGCAGAGCGGCGCAGAGAAACAGACAGTAGCCAGTTGTTGATTTGTGATCTAATTGATCACCGGCCCAGTCGGAGTCCGAGTAAGCAGAAAGTGCTAAGTCAGTCTTAGGAAGAACAAGAGCATGATACGAAGTGCCTTGTAGATAATGCAAAATGCGTTTGAGAAGCTGAAATGTAGTTGAAGAGGATTGTGCATATGTTGGCACAATTTGTTTACAACAAATGCGATATCAGGGTGTGTGGAGGTGAGATACTGTAACGAGCCCGCGAGAGTCCGAAAAAGCTCTGGTTGAGCAAACGGAAGCTGAAGTTCAGGATCGGTAGGATACTTTGACGGAAGTGGCGTGAGGAGAGGTTTACAATTGGACATAGAGGCCATGTGGAGAAGATCCTGAATATAGGAGCTATCAAGGTTCTCGCAATTTCTGAACGATCGACCATATACTCGCCGAATACCGACTATTTTGTACATCACGAAAGATAAATCTTCTAGTCTTGTAATTCTTTCTATTGCTGATCATGAAGTTTAATAAGTCATTGCTATGATTTTAGTTCATTTGATTTTCTTGTTCGATTCATTTCTTCCATTTTTTATATCAGAAAGACCAATGCTAGTAGCATAGAGCATATTGAGAAAGTCCATTAACTTTAACAGCTATAATATATAGAACAAGAAAGTCTAACGAACTTTCTTAATATGCTCCATGCTACTTGAGCATTTATAATTTGCTTTAGTTGACTTGATTTCAGTTTTATCACAATATTGAATTACTTATACTCATAATATACTATTAGTCATTGCGAGTTTACCAAATTGTATTATTTTTACTTATATGCACACCATATATGTGCTTATATGGTTTTTTTTTTCGTAGCTGGAGCTATTTAATTTCACTTGTTGTACATATGTTGTATGAAAAGTAAATGACACATTTATTTCTTGTATTGGTCTTTCACTAATCACTATATTATAGTGGCATTTTTTTCCAGCCACCAATAATCATTTAATTAAGTGTACCATAAGTATGAACAACCATTATATCTCTGTTTGCAGCCTTAAACTCATATGAGCTAACATCCAAATTATTCTCTGCAAAACAATACGTAACACACTGAAGGATCTAAACCTTATGATCTCCAATCAAGCTTCCAAAGTATGAATTTCAAGTCTAAACCTTATGATATGCAACTCCAAGTTCAAACTTACAAAGCAAAAACCTTTAGGAAACTAATAAGAAAAAGGTATAAGTGGATAATCATCAAAGTATTACACTTGGAAGACCTTATCTAAAGAATAAATCATTCCCATGATTTTCTTGAATGTTTTACCTAATAAGCGCAAGTAAACATAATCGTAATTATAAAACACCATATAAGTTTTTTCTTTTTAAAATTAGCTATAAACTAATCATTTAATTATATTGATTTAGTGATTATAACAAATCATTAATGAAACCATTATCTTTTGATGGATATTAAGAGGATACATTTTTCACTTATAATTCTTCCCCTACCTGCAACTCAAATGCAGTTATGCTTGCCAAGATAGCTACATGGTAATACCTTATTTAAAATAGAATGGTTTAAAGTGTAAACTTTCTGCTCATCCAAAATGATCATTAATTTCTTCTGTAAACCAAACATGAGTCTTACTTAAAATTTTGGGATCCCAACGAATGGTAGCATGAGATTTTGTTGACATCAAGAATGAAAATTTTCTATATTCATTGTTATCATATAGGGTTTTTTACTCCTTGCTTTATCAATTGTTTAGTTATAATGAAAATCAAAGTGCATACTTTAAACCCTTTGAATATGCATCCACTAGCTCCTATGGTCCCTAATATTCATTTCTCCTTTGATATATGAAGGTTCTAACATGGAAATGGATAAAAAGTTGGATGTATTGTTTAAGGAATAATACAATTTTTAAAGGAGTTAACAAATTTCTAAATTTTGCTTTAGTAATGGAAGTATAAGTGAAATGAAACTATGCCCATATAGAGATTGTGGCAATGACATTTGTAAGACAAGATAGGATGTTGAAGCTTATTTTCTTTGGAGATGATTCAAACCTGAATATTACAATTGGAATGCTCATGGAGAAATTTCATTTAAAAACAAAATTGGACCACATTGCCTCATTTTTGATGATGCTAATTAAAACATGGAAGCCTATTAAATGATTTTTTGGGTTATGCTAATTTATGAGGTAATAGTACAAAAGAAAATTTTTCATATCCTATTTGTCAAGAGCATACATGTTATGAGAGGTTACATTTCAGTTGTAAGAGATGTTATATGGGACATCAGAGGTTCTTAGATCACGATCATCGTTATAGAAAATATAGTCGATCTTTTAATGGTTGTGAAGAATAAAAGACAATATGACCACCTATTAATGGATCCAAAATTATAGATATGTTAAGAAGTATAAATGTCAATTTTGAAAAGAAAATATGTGCTAATCCTAATTTTCTTTATAATTGGAAGAAGTTTAGTATATTTTTACAAGATATCGTATTGGGAAAAAGGTCTTTTATATCATAACTTTTATGTTATGCATATTAAAAAAATGTATGCGATAAGGTTTTGGGTATGTTGTTGGATTTTGATAGAAAGACATAAGATCATTTGAATGCATGTAAGGACATGGAGAAAATGATTATACGACCTGCGTTACACCCTATTTATACTTCACTAGACATACTTATTTACCTGTTGCAATATTTATTATGGACAAAAAAGAAAAAAAAATCTTCTGTAAAGTCTTAAAAAGTGTGGATATGTATCTAACATTTCAAGACGAGTGCAACTAAAAACCCTGAAAATATTCAAATTAAAGAGCCATGATCATCATCTAACAATGTAACAATTGCTTCTAATATGATTAAGATGAGTCTTACCTAAGTCAGTTCACTCTCCTCTGATTCGTTTGAGTCATTTCTTTCAAGACTTATGCTCTTAAGCTCTTCTCCCGATTGAGCTACTTAGATTGTAAAAGAAATTGTAATTACACTTTATAAGCTTGAAAAGTTATTTTGGTGCATTTGACAATTCACTTGACCACAGAGGCAAGGAATTGAGGTCCTGTATATTACCGTTGGATGTATTATATTAAGAGGCTAGTAATGATTTCATTTATCGTTATATTTTTTTTATTATATATAACTTTAATAAAAAATTGATATCACTTATCAATTAACTATTTTAGATTTTTAGGGAAGTTAAAGTCATTTGTTTGAAATAGAAGTCATCCAGAGGGATCAATTGTAGAAGGCTATATTACCGAGCAATGTTTAACATTTTGCTCTTCATATTTTTCTTAGCATGTGGAAAGAAGGCATAATGAAGTTGGAAGAAATGAATTTAATGAGAATGTCATGAATGAAGGACTTAATATATGTGCACTTGGAAAGAGAGAGGTCAAGATCTAAAATGATGAGACACTTATAAAGGCATATCGATATGTCCTTTTTAATTGTGAGGAAATAGAGTCATATGTTAGGTAAAAGAAAAATCATGTAATTCAATACATGTATTTATTTTTATATAAATACTATTATTACGTTCTTATAAATTTTGTTAATATCTATAGTGAATATTACACTAAAATCTATAGTTAAAGAAATAATAAGACAAACGGTCTCGCTATGGAGAGCATGAAGCTAAAAGGATGCACAACTAAGATTTCATTTCTTAATAAGGTTAGTGTTACAATGTTAACGAACTTTACATGATAACTTTTATTGATTACTATACATATTCTACTTTTTGTTTAATAGATTGCTTTAATTGATCCATTGAAGGATGATATTATTCCTACCGATTTGAGGCACTTAGTTAGAGGTCCGTCAAATATTATCACTCTATTCAAGAAGTACCTCATGAATGATTTTAAATTTCATGCTTTAGATTTGGTGAAAAAAGAACTCAAAATTATTGAGTGATGGTTAAGTTATAACTACAAGCTTCACTAATATAAAGATAGTAACCCTATTTCAAGTAACTTTACATACTATGGGATTTTAAAAAATATAATTGAATTGGACTACACAACAAAACAAAGTGTTGTTTTATTTGAATGTGATTGGGTTTCTAAAGGAAAGAGGCTGAAGGAGGATGAGGATGGCTTCGTATTGACTTATTTCAATAAAATTATATATCATTAAGAACCCTTTATGCTTGCTTCTGAAGTTCAACAAGTTTTTTATTTGGAATATCCTATTGATCCTACATTGTATTTTGTTGTTACAACTTCACCAAGAAATACATTTGATAATATTCACATTCAGATTGATGTTGATGACTACTTACAAAGTGAAACTTATACTAAGCCAAATTTTATCGATGATGAAGTTCACTGGACTAGAGATGGAGTTGATGGCATGCTCGTAGAGTAACTGATTTGTGTACTGTTTATTTTATAATGTAACAACATTTTCTTTTATGCTTATATTGTTAGATCATTTTATCGATATAATTACTATGTAACATCCTCCCAATATTGATTATCAATATTGTCCTTCGCAATGAACATAATGCAGAGAGAGAAGCTAGAGAGAGAAGCTCCCAATTTTTGAAACAGTTTTTTCAATTTTTTTCTTCTTCCGTCCGTTGGCGCCTTTTTTGCTCAGAATGGTGGACTACCCGCAAGACAATTCCGATGACCGGAACTTTATCAATCATCCATCATTTTGCTCTTGTGTCATTTCTAATTCTAATGTTTCAACACTAATTAGTATTGGTACTTCAAAGATTGGTCGTTTCATTGCTCCCTTGGTTATTAGAGAACCGAATGGTGTCAAAATTAATTCCTCCCCACTGGTGACTGGTAAGGGAAAGCAAATCATTGATGATTTTAAGGCAAATATTCCTCTTTAAATTGGTGTTTCCAAATCGAATGATTTTGAATCATCTTCTTTGGATATGAAGCTTTTTGTTAATAGGTTTGGTAATAATTCTAAACCTATTTATATTTTGGAGGAAGCTCCTTTAGTTCAAAATAAATGTGATATTCCATCAGCTATTTGTAACAATGCTCTAGAGAAAAATTGTGGTTCTGAGGTTTTAGGAGAGAACCGAAATGATGTTTGAGAATTAAATGATAAAGTTCTTGCTAATCCTTGGGTTAAGGGACCATATATTAAGGTTAATCTATTGAAGGAAGATTTTTTTTTGTCTGAGGATGGGGTAGCAGTTAAACTATATGAACCAAATGTTAATATCAACTCAAATAAGCTTCAGTATTCAGTTGTGGTGAAGGTGTTTGGTAGATACATCTCAATTCAGGTGATTGCGGAGGAATTGCGACGCTAATGGTCGCAATTTGGAAAGTTCCATTTGATAGCTCTTGGCTCATTATGGGTGCTATGTTCATTTTTTACAATTGAAGCTATGGAGAATGTCTTATCTGGTGGCCCCTAGTTTGTGAACAGTTATATTGTAGGACTTGACAAATGGAATCCTAAC